CATGCAAAGCCAAGGGGTCATCTGCCCTGTGCTTGTCCCCACTTTGCTCAGCCTGCAGTGCCCTTTCACCACTGTGTCCTCCAGAAAGCCTGCCTTGATGAGGCACACACTATTCCATTCTCTGCCTTTTTGTCTGACTGCCTCACTGCATCAGAGCTGACCTGTCCCCTGGTGTCTTTGATGCTTGTACCTCTTTCTGCTCCAGAGAAGATCCTTCACTGGAAGAGTAGGGAGTGGTGTGTGTCAAGTGTCCCTGGAAATGTTCACAGGCTGGACAGGTAGGGAATGGGAATCAGAGAGAGAAAAGATAAACTGCCCACATCAAACCAAAACACGTTCCTAGGATCTAGGCCGCACACTGAAGGAGAAGAGGGTGGGTGGATTGGGAGGCCTTCAGCAAGGAATCATAGCACTGTTACCTGTTACTGTGCCTGAGATCTTTTTATCTCACGGACATCTCACCACAGGCTTTGAGGTTATATGTCTTATTATCACCATGACACAAATCTAGAAACTGGATTACACAGGTACTGTATGTAATCTGCCCCAGGTGACAAAGCTGGAGTCAAGGCTCACAGCCTGTGGATTCCCTAGTGAACTGTGCACTGCAGAATCCCACATATTTGGTTTTGGTGGGTCTGAATCATGGTGAAAAGGGGAGGTTTGGCTAGTCCCTAACCATCTCCCAGACACATTCCAAGTCCCCCACAGGCATTTCAGCACATAGGAGTCTTGTGGCCATTCTGAAAGCCCTGTGAAGTTCCAGATTTTTGTGACACTGCCTCAGAGGAAGGGCCCACCAAAGCACACACAGCCCTATTCCAGCCAAAGAAGAGGGCTATGGATGGAAAGTAGGCAGCCAAGATCCCTCAGGACAGTACAGGGGCAGAGGCAGACACAGGTCTAACCTAAGCACCACTGCCAAGGAGAAACATGTCTTGATCTGTTTTCTATTGCTGTCACAGAACACCCAAGACTAACTCATAATGGAAAGGAGTTTACTTTGCTCACCTTGTGGAGTCCAGGAGTCCAGGACAAGGCAGTAGTACTGGCGAGCTCTTCATAGCTTGGCAAGAGCTTGACTGAGGATTGAACGCAGGATCTTACACATGCTAAGCAAGTACTCTATCACTAACCTGCATGCTCAGGGCCTGGAACTGCTCCTTCCATTTTTAAGCTGTAAAATATAATTGGCAAATAAGAACTGCACATATTTATGGTACATAGTGTGATGTTTTGATATACATATGCATTGTAAAATGATGAAATCAAGCTAAATAATATATCCATCTTCTCACATTCTCATGTGCTTGTGATAATTAAATTTTCTCTCAGCACTTTTCAAGTATACATTATGAAAAAAACCCCATGTTATTCAATCTCTAGGGTTTATTCTTTCTGCTGAAAGGAATTTGTACCCTTTGATCAGTATCTCCCATTTTCTCTCAGGCCCCTGCACCCTCCATAGTGCTCTCCATGTCTAAGGGTTCCATGTTTCTCCTAATTGCTTAAATTCATGCTTTTTCATGGGTGGTCAGTTGCCTAGAGAAAGCTGGCTGAATCAGAAATGAAAATATGCAATAAATATGACCTTCTTAGGTGGGTCTGGAGATCCTGCTTATGTCTCCAGGTAGGCAGGGAATGTGGCCAAGGGATAAAACTGAGAAGCAGACCTTTCAGAATGATACATCAAAGTCCTTGGAGGGCTTAATAGACTTGATTCAGGGGGATAAGGGTATTGCTCAGTGGTAGAGTGCATGCCTAGCGTACCCAGAGAAGAGGAAAAAAAAATTGAAACCATTTCTGTTGGAAAGGATGTTAGGTTATTTCCTCACTTTAGCATACCAAATAGTAAAACCAACTCAAAACACATTATAGTATAGAACTGTCCTCCTGACATGTGAAACTAGGAGGGAGGGTGGGGATGGGGCCCATAGGGGAATAATTAAAGTATCTAATGTGCATGTACAAATTGCCAAAATGAAACACCCTGATCAGTATAGCTGGGACTTCTGGGAAGATGGCGGAGTGGTAAGCAGCAGAAAACAGCTTCTCTGAGAGTCACTGCCCAGCCGCTGGAATCCAGCATTGTGAAAGACCAGAAGGAAGGAAGCGGGTCCGCTGGACCCAGGAAGAGTCTGAAATATGCATTGAATCCCAGAGAGACAGAGAGAGAGAGAGAAAAGAGAAACTTGGACAAAGAAGAAGGCAGTTGCTGATGGTACCTTCACCTGGAGCTGGATTCACTGCGCGAGCTGTTGGAACCTGGGGACGCAGGGTCGTGGTAACAGTAGTGGCTGGTGACCCCAGAGGCCTCTGCAGAGACACAGCAGTGGAGGGGATCGGTGGAAGTGGAGGACTGCACTGACTGGCAGTGAGTGCAGAGGACTAGGTCCTCCTGCGGGAGGCAGCGAGCCATTGGCCAGGAGCCATTTTGGCGCCAGCTGGTAAGCCCAGAACCAGAACTGCTGATGGCTTCTTCTAGCAGCTCCTCGCTGGGCCCAGTCCCATGGAAATTGCTTGGATTGTGGTGACCCCCAGTGAGTCTGGTCTGGGGCAGGTCTGCTGAGGTCACCTACTACTCTGCCATAAAGAAGTGGCTGGCTTGCTGGAATACAGTGACATGACTCAGGACTATCTCCACGGGCCACCAGTGACCCAAGAGAATCCCGGAAGTGAACTCTTTTTTCTTTTCTTGTTTGTTTGGTTTATTCAGTTTTTTTTTAAATCTGTCTCTTTTTTTTAAATGAGTATGAGACTGCTTCCCACCCTCTTTATGGGTTTGGTTCTGTTCTGTCCTACCTTTTATTATCTCTTCCACTTCTCTTTTTCCTTTAGTTTTCTGTACCAGTTTCCCCAAGTTGGTGGGATCCATCTTTGTCCTCCAATCTTACCTGTAGTCTTTGTTTCTTTTTCCATTTCTCTATTTTCTCCATTTTAAATTTTACCCCCAGGGCAAATTTGACACGTTATGGACTTACATATTGCATATCTGTACATAATGCATATCTGGTTTGTTTTAAATTTTGTTATATAATCACAAATCTAATTCATATGGTTAAAAGTTGCAAATTAAGGGTTAGCTCAGTGTGTTGTTTTATATGCTGTTTGGTGCTATTGGTACTACTATAGCCAAAATTGACATACCTATTGACCCTGATAATCCATGACTAAGCTTAACTAAGATTCACAGAAAATATTGTAGCACAGTGCCAAAGAGTCAGGTAGTAGGCCAAACAAGCAACAATTTCTCATCTCCAACAAACTGAAGATCTTCCAATAGGCTTAAAACTCAAAAACCAGCTACACCTGGAGATATCTCAGAGACGTAATCATCACCTAAGTGTCCTAAATAAAGCAATTACCATAGGCAACTAACAAGCATCACCTCAGGAATTAAACTTAGAAAAAAATGAGAAGACAATAAGATGCAACCCCAGACATCCATTTCATCAAAGGCAAACCTAGGGAGCAATGAGGTGGGACAATTCAAAAGCTCCCTACCAGGTCTCTCTGAAGTGGTAACAAGAAAGCAGTTGAATGAGACTCTGGAAAAAATGAAATCAGAAAAAAAATCTCTCAAATAACTACAGAGATGACCAAAATACACACCATGCTTAGCAGTGTTAGAGACAAGCTTGAGCAAATTATGGAAGTACAGCATAGGGAAAAAATGGAATCCATAAAGCAGATTCAAACAGATATCCAGGAGAATAAGCACTCCATTGAAAGTATTTGAAGCAGAGTAGGCCAATGTGTGAACAGGATCTCAGATATTGAAGACAGGATTGCAGTTAGCCACCAGGAAAAGAAAGATTTCTCAAAACTAGCAAAGGACCATGAGAAATCAATCCAGCAGCTTCTAGATGACACAAAGAATAACAAGACTAACTGGAGTCAATGAACAAGCAGGAGATACCACAAATGACATTAAAAACACATTCACAGACATCATGACAGAAAACTTTCCTGGTAGAGAAAAAGAACTTGACATACAAATAAGTGAGGCATATAGAACTCCAATTAGCAATGATAAAAAAAAAAATCTACATCCAGGTGTATCCTAGTAAAGATTCCAGAGATTCAACACAAGAATAGAATCTTAAAACTTGTTAGAGAAAAGAAAGAAATCACCTTTAAAGGAAAGTCCAACAGCATCACAGCTGACTTCTCAGCACAAACTCTCAAATCAAGGAGAGCTTGGGAGTGAAGCACTGCAAGTTCTAAAGGAAAACACTCTTTCTGATGTACTCAAAAGTGTTCTTTCTTGAGTTTCAAAGGCTGGGTGTGTGGCTCAGTGGTATAGCCTTCCCCTAGCATGTGGGAAGCTCTGGGTTCATTCCCTAGCTCTGCCAAAAAGAAAATAAAGTCCCTGAGAAGTCAGTGTGGAAGAAAGGTGTAACAGGAGCCTTTTACTATTCCTGAGTAGGACAGTAGAAAAAGAGCCCAGAGCTGCAAAGGGTCTTGGAGCATCTGAGAGTCACTTGGATGGCCACAGATGTGTAGAAGAGGGGAGGCAGGTACAAGGTAAGCAAGAGCCTGTCTTTCAGCTCAGTCCTTGAGGGGACTCTGCCTACAAGGAGTGTCCTGGACCTCATGAGTTCTGAGCAGCAAGCCAGACAGTTCTGGGGAGGACTTCATGAAGGTGCGTTTCCTTCTTTATAGAGACAAAAACACAGGGGTTGCTTGCTTCCTTGACATCTCCCAGTGCTCTGAAGCAGACAGGATACCACCCTTCCATGCCACCACAGCAAAAGGCTGCACCCCATCTGCACAGGCCCCTCAAGCCTTTGTTGGGACCTCAGAAGCACAGAGGCAAGCAGGGAGCTCAGGGGAAGGTGCAAACTTTCAGCCCCTGTACATCTATGAAGAAGGAAAGAGCTGGAACTTGTATGGGTTTTGAATTTGGGGAATCTCTAATTTACAAAAGGCAAAAGGCTTGAGTAGGAACTCCTTTGCCACTCAAGAAGGAGGTAGAAGTCCTTCTGCGGACTAAGAAGTAAGATTTAACATCCTTGTATTTATTAGGTTCTGAAACAATACACATTCACATCATTTTGAATACAGTACATTTGGCACAACAATGTTTACAATGAAATAACACTAATGAATGGCAAGAGATTAAAATTACATCCAGAAAGGAAACAATGTACAAATAAAGCATCACAATACAAAATAAAACCTTTAAAATTGAATATGTTTTATATTTAGCCAGAATTATTTTGCACATAATTTAAAAAGAGGTAACTTTTTAAGCCTTCTTTTTTTTTTTAATAAAGCAAGAATGCATTGTATTTTCACCTTTGGAGGAAAAATTATGTTTCTACTTCACAAAGTCTATAATGAGAGAACACAAGAGAATAGCTATCCTTCATTTTTTTTTTTTTTTGGCATTTTTTGCACTTTTTTCCTTTAAAAAAGAGGGTGGGCGGGAGGGAGGGTAACAGGGGGAGAGAAAGAGTGTGTGTGAGCCAGCGCTGGAAAGATTACAAAGAACTGGCAAAAATGTAAGAGTTTGTCTGCTTCCAAATTCTTGTTGCAAATAAAGTACTCAAGGAATACAGGTGCCTTTTTCCATAGGTCTAGACTGGATTTCAATCTGCCTGTGTGACAGGCAGTGGAGGCTTCCTGGCCGCTGGCTGCGGGTGCTCTTGGGGCCTAGAGCTGCCAGGTGGAATGTATTATCTGACTTCCCAGCAAAAATGCCTGTTGTCCTGTAGGAAGGGCCTGACCCTCACAGCCATGCAAACACCACCAGTCCTTGGACAAGGCCATTTGGCATTGTAGTTGAAGATGGCTTGGTTGTCTGCAGTTCACAGTGGCAAAGGAAGCAGGAAAGACAGGTGGGGGGAAGGGGCGTTTGACGGTTGATTGAGATTATGCATGAGTATGATGGGTGTATTGTCATGTCTCCCTAAAAAATGAGATGATGCCACCATGAAGATGTTTCTGTGCTTGTACTCCACTCCAGAAGATAGTCTGCCCCTGGTATGTCAAGTTACCGTAGATAAATTAAATTAATCCAATGTTCTTTATCACTTCACTGGTATGCCAAACACATGGATTGATATAGCATAATATTCAATATTTGCAATCATCATAAGAACAGATAATAATTACACCTGAGTTTTTAAAAGATAAAATGAAAGAGAACTGAATGTCATCGTTAGTAACAAGGGCTGTTACCAGCCAGATGCAAATAGGGACGCACCCTATGGGTTCAAAATAGTCACTGTCTAAGCTTTAAAAGCACAACTGAAAATATTCCTTTTGGTCCCCTATCTCTGTCAGGGCATAATAGAGCACAGGAGAACTATACATGAAATTTAATATAGCTTAATACACATATATGTTTACATCTTTTAAAATAAAACAAAATGAAATAAACAATACCTCCCCCCAAAAAAAGAATACACCTATCTCTCGGTAACTTGAACCAATACGCTTATAGAGTATTGCACCTGGACATTATTATAATTATTCTTTCATAGACTAAAGTTTTATAATATGCCTGAACATGCAGCAGTTGATACCTCTATATTCAATGAATTAATTCCACAGGCCTTGCAGCAAACAATATATACAAAAATCTCAAATGTACAAAAGGCAAAAAGCTTCATTAGTGCCACTTTGCCACTCACAAGTATATATATTTAGGAACAGCTGGGAAATCCACGTGCAACAGTTAGAATGGATTCCATTCCCCTGCTAAATCAGTTCAGTAAAATAGGTAATCAAATGACCTCCAGGAAACATATGCACAAAGCCACAGAGAACCCTTGGAAATCAAAGAACGTAACACTGTTAGCATATCTACAGGAGGTAATATCTCATTCATAAGTAGTGTCCACATGAGTTGCCCCTGCATGTCCCATGGAAACAAAACTCCGAGTACAAGCAGTCACACTGTCAGTTTGCAAACCCGTTCCCTTTGGTCTCCTGCCATGCTCTACCCAACACGCAGTGAGCCTCTTAAGTCAAAACTTCAGAATTAACTTTAAATGCTTAATGTTTAAAAAACCACAACACAGTAGTACTATCATTTTTGTAGAAGTGCACAAAATAACACATTGCTGCAGAAAATAAATAGCGTTTATGTTGGGAACTCAGGACGACACTGGGAACTGAGTTTTGCCAAGAACCCGAGGGTCCTGGCCATTGCTGTGGTGGCCTTTGTATTCAGGTAGAACTGTAAGAATAAGGAGTGCTACTTGTTTCCTTTTCTTTCAACTCAACGAGCCCTCATGTGTCACTAACGAATCGATAGCACAAATCTTGGACGACTGGATTCTCTTTGTATATTAGCCCTTTAATATCCACCTGTCTTCATACTGGAATTTCTATCTTTTGGCCAATTAGAAAGCTAATTTTGATAAACATTTTTCAAATGTTAATGAGGTTCAAAATTCAAAATTATTTTTTCCACAAAAGTGATTTCTTCTATGATACACAAACTTGTAAGACTCTGGCATGCTTCAAAGCAGACACCAAAGCAAGCCAGAATGAGCCATTCCCAAGCAAACCGATGCAGCTCGCTGGCTTGTGTGTCTCCTGGGTCCCCTCCATCAAGGGCACCCGCCTTCACGTGAGGAGGTGCCAGTCTCTTCTTGTCCTGGGCAGAAGGGCAGGGATGGCAGGCCAGAGGACAGAAGGGATGAGAAGCAGGAGGTGTCAGGATTCTATATCCAGTGGCAAAGCCAGAGTCTTCTTGTTTGATATTTTTCTTTTTTCTTTGTAATAAAAGAATTGAAGTTGCTTCACAGCTAGGAGCCCCCCACATGGAGTCGAACCAGGCTTGCCACAGTCCAAACACTGCAATGTAGACACCCCGGGGCTGACCCAACTCCAGTCTGTATTCCAAAGGAAGCAAGATCCGAGAGTGCCTGCTGGTCACCAGGAGGTGGGATAGGGGGTGGCATGGGGAAGGGAAGGCAATAAATAGAGGATGGCATGGGACGGGGACTCCAGGAAGAGGAATAGTTCTGGACCTTAGGAGTCTCTGGAACCTGGGTCTTCTCAGCATCCTCCTTGCAGCAGTGGCAAGCCCACCCCAAGTGGCTCCTCAGGGCATCAGGTCTTCACCAAAGTAGGAAAAGCCTTTGAACTCCTCCTGGTTGATCTGCTTCACGATTGCTTCATCCACAAGTGTGAGTACTGGCTCTTCCCGGGTAAAGTCTTGGTCAAAGTTATTGACATCTCTTTTGGTTTTCTGTGGGAAAACAAGAGAAAGCACTGAGTCAAGGCTGACCTGCTTTCCATGGGAGCCCCACGGGGAGTGGGCATCCGGGGAACCAGCTTCTCGCCAAAGCGAGCCTCTAACTACTGGAAGCAGACACAGGGCTGTTCCGATGAGGCAACGATGGATGGCCCCAGGACCGGGAGGTGACAGAAGAGGAGAAGAGAAGGAATGAGCTGAGGTGAGAAGGAAGAAGGGGTGTGTGGGAATGATGGAAAAGCAGGGAAGTGGGATTCCCACAGGCTGTGTGTGCGCGTGTGCGTGTGCGTGTGTTTGTATGTGTGTCTGGAAGGATGCAAAGCTCCCACCTCATAGCCCCTCACAGCATCTGCCATCAGCCTTGGACATCACATCTTTCTCCTATAACCCAGGGAACCTGAATCCACCACCCACAGAGTCTCTAGTGCTCCAGATCCCATACCCCGGCCACATCTCCTCAGATGACATCTTCTCTTTGAGCAGGAGGGTTGGCGGGGACGGGATCATCTTCCAGGGTCTGCCTTGACCCCACCTGCACTTGCCATGACCTTAGTTTATACTCCCATACTTGTATTATTATTCTTGCACTTGGCATGCTGACTTGCCATGATGCCCATCTTTGTCTATTCCATGAGCTCCTGTAAGGTCCATACCTCATCTAATTCATATTGGACTCCATAATGAATGATAAGCAATAAGCTTATTGAGCTTCACTGAGTAAGGGTCTATTGAGCAAAGTGAGCAAACCTGTTATTCACCTCCCCGCCACTCAGAGGATCCAGACCTGGTTAGATGTTCAAATTCAAAAAGGAGGACTGTGTGGCTTATAGTTGGGGGAACAGAGAGTAGCAATCAATCAACACACAAACAAAGCCTGGCTTTTGGAGACAATCAGGAAGGGTAAGTAATGCTCTCTGCCTTTAGGAGCTTACAATTGCCCTGGGGAGCCAGTATTCTTCTCTAGAATATGTTGCATTGGTAGGAAAAATGTCCATAGAAAAGTCAGGGCTTGGGGCAAGGCCTGGGCTATAATCATGTTGGTAGAGATAGAAGAAAGGCATCTGGCAGGGTGACAGATGGGCAGGAACATAAAAAGCATATATGTTGGACATCAGGTTTGCCAAAGCCTGGGGCAGAGTCTAGTGTGGGAATTGTGGGGAGGAGGCCTCACACTGTGAGGCCTTCAATATCAGCCCCTCCTCGTTATTCTCCTTACCCCCAGTATAGTGTACAGCACACTGTTGGGAAGACAGGAGGTACCCCACAGTTCTTTCTAAAGATAGTGACTAATTGGTACTAATCAGGATGAATAACCTGGATAATGGAACATATCCTCTGGGAAGATTAGCAATATAATTTTTCCCCAGTACTGGACATTGAACCCAGAGCTTTTACAAGCAGCTACATTCCCAGCCTTTTTTATTTTTTATTTTGAGATAGGGTCTTGCTAAATTTCCCAGGTTGAGCTTAAACTTGCAATCCTCCCACCTCAGCCTCCCAGTGTTAGGATTATAGGCATGCATCAAAATGCCCTACTAAAATTAGCAATACTATCTGTAGAAAAAATAATACGCTCCATGCTTTGGGGGAACCAGTGACCTAAAAGGTATCAATGAGTAGTCCATGAAAAAAGTGGCTTTGAGTCTAAGCTGTATCTGTACCCCTGACTTTTCATGTACATGGCAAATTAGTGTTTCTGAGACGCTATAGAGTATACAAACCTGTCCGCTTTGTTTCAGCTAGCCTTCCTCAAACCTGACATTAACTCTTCTCAGCCTGCCCTCCTTTATAGCTTTCTAACACTCGCTCAAGAGCAGAGCCCTGCAGAGCAGTTTGGGCAGTGCTGCTTTAGGGTTTACAAAGCCTCTTCACATGCATTTCCTTGTCTGAACCCTGGGACAGGCAGGTGTTGTGATTTTACATTTTCAAAGATGTTAGGTGGCTTGACCAGAATCAAGAAGAACCATAGCCTAAAAAGGCACAGCTGGAATTTGAATCTAGGTCTCAAGGCAGAAGGTATGGAAATCCATACACTCACTGGACAAGCGGGAAGACATGGAAAGGGTCAAATTCAACCATCAGGAGATATTTAGGAAAAGCCAGTGAGGTAAAATAAAGCCAGGAAGGTCTGTGGGGGAGCAGTGTGGGCTGGAGAAAAGGGTGGTGCCCCGGAAAAGCAGGTGCTGGTGTCTTTCCTGACGGTCTCTATGGAAGGAGAGATGGATTAGCTAACGATGGGCCTGCTGTGCTAGTGAAGGGAGTCTAGAGGCAGGCAGGGTGGCGGCCACTTCGGGAGCACCAGGAATCATCCCAAGGGCAAAAAAGAGCACACACATTGGGCCTGGAGCAGAAGGGGACAGGAGGTGGTGGCAGCAGGGTGAAGAAGAGACAATGATTGGGTAGGGGGAAGAGTCCACTTATAACATCATTAAGGACAGGCTGTGAACCGCAGGTCTCTAGAATTCTCAGGAGTGGGAACCTCTCTTTGGTGCTACACCCCTCTCAGCCACTACATAACTTCTCTGGCATTGGCTTTCCCCATTTTCTTGAAGGTTTGTGCTTCAGTCTAGTCATTACTGTCCACTAGATAAAAACTGGTTTCCAATCTCCAAAGTTATTGAGTGTCCATGACAGAACTAGGCTTGGTCAGTAGAGCCAGGTATTTGATTCCTGGACCTCCAGTTCTATGGTGGGCTTGTTTAGAGAGACACTTGGCTCTGAGTTTCAGGGGTCCCTGAGTCATTGGTGGCACCTGAGAGGGTATGCCGCTTGTCCTGACCTTGACAGGCCCTGGCGCACACAACCCCTTGTACGACTTGGCCCCTGCTCAGTTTTCCTTGGGAACACTTTAGGTGCACATCAGCTACTCATCTTTAATTCAAATAACCAACATCCCTGCGGGGTGCAGTTCCTGAGTCTGGTTAGAGTTTCCCAAGACAGACTCTGTCCACTAGTACCGGGATGCAGACAGCGTAGCACCCTAAATTTGGAAGGGATCGGGATGTTATATCCTTTCCTCACTGATCCTATTCTTTGAACTGATGCTGTCTCCCTTATGGAGCAGGCATGAGGCTCAACTCAGAGTTCCAGTGGATAAACTCAGAGACATTGTGTATTCCAATCCTCGGTCACCCCACTCACCCCTTCTCATGCCTAAATACCAGTCTCAGCCTGCCTAAAGAAGCCAGATGTTAGACAGTCAGACCTGACATGGAACGGGCACCCAGGAACTAAATTCCTGCCCTCCCCAAATCTTAGCAGCCGTGTGTCATGGGCCCTTGCCACACAGCCATGGTTGTGCTACCCAGCACAGTCCCTATGATGTGCTTGTCAATGAACTGCTGGAAGCTGGGGACTGACTTTTACATTCCTCTGTATCCCTCTAATGCTTGAGTTAATGTGGAGCTGGGGTCTTCCTCCAGGGGCTGGGATTTTTCTACGAGGCCTGGGACTCTTTGGATAAAATTCCAAGCTTCTATACTTACCTGCTCCTAAGGCTTTCATGATCTCACCTCTGCCCACCTCCCTGGTACCACTGAGCCACGCACTTCCTATCTCTGGCTCCTCTGGCTGGGGCTCCACTCTCCTCCTTACCTTCTGCCAATGTCTGATCCCCTTTGCCACTTCTGTGTGTTTGCCCTTCCTGCAGGAAGTCCCTCTGAGGGTGGCCTGGGCCAAACATACAACGGGTACCTCATCTTTTCTCCTGAGCTCTTATCATAAAATGAGGGCTCTATGAGTTCCATGCAGGCTGGTACTGGGAAGAACTCACCATTCTCTGCAAGCCCAGCACAATGCCCAGCATAGACTGTTCACTTGAGCTATCTGCTGGAGGAAGTGGCTGGATGTACCTCTCTTGCTGCTGCTGTATCTAGAGCCAGCAAAGTGACTTGGGTTCAGGATCAGTGGCTGCTGTCCGGACAGAGGCCTTTTTCATTTGGGGAAGTGGAGGTGGGGTGGGGAGGAGGCTGAGGTCTGGCTCATGAAGGGTCTGGAGTGAGACAGCCCAGAGCAGCACTAAGCCCCAGGGTGCCAGCAAAACAGGAGGCTTAGGCTTAATTAATGGGGTCTCTTGAATGCTTCAGGCATACGGGTTCTCTAATTGCTGGTACAAGATAGAGGCAAAAACAGTTTTAACCAGGGTTTGGGGAAATTCCATCAAGATGAGTGTGTTTTGGGACTTGGTGGGTATGTCTTTGGCCCTCAGGCTTAAGAGTTGAGGGAACACAGCATTCCTGTTCTCTTTGGCATCTCTTTAGAAATCGGGCCTTGGATTTAGAGATCTGAGGCTGACATCAGGGAAGGGCCCATCTCTGGTGTCTGCCATGGAGGAGAGAGATAAAACTCGAACTATGGAAATCATTTCAAATCTCCCTACCTACCCCCACACCTGCCATCTTCCTGAGAGATTGCAGAAGCTAAGTCTTGGACTGCTTTATGCCTAGAGCCCTTGCTGGGTATCAGTGTTTAGACTCTAGCTAGCACCAAAGTGGACCAGTGGCTGAACATTTACTTTCTGTCTGGCCAGTGGAACTGTTTCCCACTCTCATGTACTGGAGCCCTAAACACAAACTTGGAGGAGGTAGTGTCTTTTATCTGATTACAGGGAGATTAGTGGATGGCTTTGTCTCCAAGCATCAAGGTGACTCCTTGATCTTATAGCACAGCCAAGGGCCTGGCTCTCACATGACCACCTTGCTGGCACCTGAGTTCTTCCCCCTCTGCTTGAAACGAGTGACAACAGCCTTGGTAACAGACTGACCCTAAGCTGGGGTCCTCCAGAGCCTTGTGTATGGCCAGCAGTAACAGGCATGCTGTCTCTCCAAAGAGCTAATCACAGGGCTGGAAGTACAGCTCAGTGGGAGGTCCTGGGTTCACTCCCCAGCACAGCAAGCAAATAGACAAAAAAGACTTGGTTCTCTCTAGATCTCTTTTAAGTCTTTCCTGATACTAGCCACATCCCACTTTGACCTCCTTCCAGTTTCTTGGCACTG